AACTAACTAACTAACTAACTAACGATAGATAGAAAGATAGATATAACTAACCTACTAACTAACTAATTAACGATAGATATAACTAACCTACTAACTAACAATAGATAGAACTAACCTACTAACTAACTAATTAACGACAGACAGACAGACAGATGATAGATAGATGATAGATAGATAGATAGATAGATAGATAGATATAACTAACCTACTAACTAACTAAATACCTAACTAACGAACAATAGATAGATAGAACTAACCTACTAACTAACTAACGAACGATAGATAGAACTAACCTACTAACTAACTAACTAACTAACTAAAAATAGATAGAACTAACTAACTAACTAACTAACGATAGATAGAAAGATAGAACTAACTAACCTACTAACTAACTAATTAACGATAGATATAACTAACCTACTAACTAACAATAGATAGAACTAACCTACTAACTAACTAATTAACGACAGACAGACAGACAGATGATAGATAGATGATAGATAGATAGATAGATAGATAGATAGATATAACTAACCTACTAACTAACTAAATACCTAACTAACGAACAATAGATAGATAGAACTAACCTACTAACTAACTAACGAACGATAGATAGAACTAACCTACTAACTAACTAACTAACTAATTAACGACAGACAGACAGAAAAACAGACAGACAGATGATAGATAGATAGATAGATCGATTGATATAGCTAACCTACTAACTAACTAACTAACTAACTAACGATAGTTAGATAGATAGATAGAACTAATGATAGATAGATAGATGATAGATAGATATAACTAACCTACTAACTAACTAACGATAGATAGATAGATAGATAGACAGACAGACAGATAGTAGATAGATAGATAGATAGATAGATGATAGATGGATAGATGATAGATAGATAGACAGACAGACAGACAGATAGATGATAGATAGATAGATAGATAGATAGACAGACAGACAGACAGACAGATAGATGATAGATAGATAGAGAGTCAGATAGATAGATAGATAGATAGATAGATAGATGGATATAATCGAATGCTTGTCGAACATCTGAGCAGAAAGAGTGTCCATTCAGACTCCATTCTCAAGCTTAATGGAGAAGCGTCTGGAGCCCCACATACACGAAACGGTTTGAGCAGAACCAATTAAATCCTAACTGCGGGGGAAACCTGCGCTGCTGCGTCTGTCTCCGAATATCTGCTGCAGCGCTGCAATACAGGACTGAAGACCCAGAGAGAGTCAGATCTCCTCTGAGCTAGCAGAAGCCCTGGAGCGTCAGTGTTTGTGTGCGTTTGAGAGTGTTTCCACACTGTTATGATGTCTGCAATCGATGAACATTACAGCCACCGATGGGAACTCAATACACACACACACACACACACACACAAACCAAGCGCTTTATTCACTGATTCCCACCGAGAGACCCTGAGACTCCAGACTCACAGCAGATACAGCTTCACATCTCCACCGTCTCCGCCTCTGGCTACAGACAGCACAACACAACCCAGCAGATTCCCTCTCCTGATTCTACATCTCCATCGCCCATATTCACATAACCAGCACAACCTACACTTTATTGGTACTGATGCTCCATGAGGAACCTTTAACATCCATGAATCTTTCCATTGCACAAAAGAGGCTTTATAGTGGAAAAAGGTTCTTCAGATTATTAAAATGTAAGAAAACATGGTTCTTTTAGGAACTGATCACTGAAAGCTTGGTTTCTCCATTTCTGTCACCGATGGAGCTTGCCACTTGCTTAGTTGGGGACACTTAATTTCTGGCAGTACTGTCATGATGCATAAATGATAGTGTTTTACATTACTTAAAATTAACATTTTTAAAAAATATTTTAAATCAAATTCTCTTATATTGTTACATTTACATGACATTTTAAAAAAATATTTTGAAACTACATTTTTTTACATTATTTAAAAATAACAATTTAAAAAATATTTTAAATCAAATTGTCTTATATTGTTTTGTAACATTTCAATGATGTATGTATGCACACAAATATCAATTAGAAATAGTGCCATGTTTTTTTTTTACATTTTTTCCCCCCATTCTTGTGATTTGGCATGGCAGTCAAATCAACGGTCATCAGGGGCCAGCTAGTTTGGGCAGCTCTGTTCTCTCTCTTTCATCTCTTTATGTTTAAGAGTGCAGTGATTTACTGAATAAAAGCAGACACTAATATGCCTGTTCACATGACTGATGAAGCTGTACCTGTCATGGGCGTGTAGACCTTGGGCTCGATGGTGCCCATGGGTGGAGGCAGGAGCGGGTTGGTGAAGCTGCGCAGGGGATGCGTGGGCCGCACACAAGCGGTCGGGATGGTGCGGCTGGGAATCTCTTCCAACCCCGACGGCTCCGACTGCGCCGTGGGAATCAGTGCCTGCGGCTGCTGCGGGGCCATTGGAGCGGCGCACTCCGCTGACATCGCTGAGAAAAACACACAAACACACAACGATTGAGGAAAGCTGAACTTCATGCAAAAGAGAGCCTAAAACACCAGACAGCAGCCGATCACATGAAGATTTGATGCATTTCAATTTCAAATTCGTTGACGGTGTTTCAGTGAATCCCATATGATCACGTCCAGAAAATAATATATCATATTTTGTGGTTTAAAAGACAATATTCAGTAATACCGATTTAACTGCAATCGGATGAGATGAAAACTTGAACTGAATTAATCTGAATAATGACACTATTGCCTTCTGTAGAGCTGAAATTTAATAATTTAACCATTTAGCAGACGATTTTATCCAGAGCGACTTAAAATTATTTAATTTGTTTCATAACTGATGAGTTTTGAATCATAAACACTGTTATTTTCCTACACATTACACGTTAGACTGTCCTCTGATGTTGATTGTTTTAAATCCTCACTGAAGACATCTTTTTTCTCTGGCTTTTGGATCAATGTAATTTTACTAATCAGTGTGCTCTCTTATTAGCTTATCTATTTTATTGTGTTGGATTTCCTTGTTAGTTTTTGTATTTTACTGTCTAATGTACTGTCTTTGGTCAGCAGCTGCTGTTTTAAATGTGCTTTAGAAATAAATAAAAAAATTGTTTATTACTGTGAAGCTGCTTTTTTTTATGTGTATTGCATAAAGTGCTACAGAAATAAATGTGGAATGATACATCTGAAAAATGTGACTTTTTTCATCTTGTTTTAATTAAGCACATTCTCATTACTATTATGCAAAAATATTCTCATGAATGTAATGCATCTGGGTTTATTAGAATTCGGTGCGACTCATTCCATTCCATTTCACTGTAATTAATTCAGATGCAGTTGGCATGCTGATACTGAGAGTTCGCCAAAGTCTATTAAAAGTATGAGTGTCCTGGTCATTTGAAAACTAAGTTAGAATTTTTCCAGCTGTAATCATGCATATATATGATGATTGTGTATTAACTGAAGTCAGTCACCGCAGCGTTCAGCCAGTATTTCGTTTGCATCAGTAGTCATGAATGCTCAAAGTCTCGGCTGAACTTCTCTAGCTCAGAGCCGTAGTTTGAGCAGATGCCTGTTATGTGCTCACTAAGAGACGCTTTGAAAATGTCATTTATTTCAATGATGCAAAGAGACTCGCAGCTGGTGCCAAAGGACCAAATCAAATCAATTTCTTCTGCTGCTAACAAACTCATTTAAAGCGGAGACTGAAACGAGTGCGAGACAGCAGGAGGAGCTGCTTCATTCAGTGCCGCCTCGTCTCTAAACAGCGTGTGGTGATGTGGTAACAGTTACTCTTAAATACTGCTACACTCTAAAAAAAAAACTATTTTTTTAAGTTATAAATAAAAGATTTTTGGAGCATGTTTTATAGGATAATACCATTTCTTTCTGTCTTTTTCCTTCAAAATGTTACGTTTTTTTTTTCAATATGTTATTTGCTAGATAGATATATTGATAGACATAAAAAACACCAGAATGAATGATAGATAGAACGAACGAACAATAGAACAAACATTAATAGATATAACGAACAATAAATGAACAATAGATAAATATATAACAAATGTTAGATATAATTAAAATATAACAAACGACAGATAAATAGATATAACAAACGATATAAACAATAGATATGACGAATAGATTTTACAAACAATATAACAAACAACATAAAGATATAACAAACAATATAATGAATGATAGATATAACAAAACTATAACGAGCAATAGACAATTAATTTAATAAACAATATAAATGATATGACGAGCAATATAACGAAAAATAGATAGATATGACAAACAATATAACGAATGACATAAATATATAATTAAAAATATAATGAATGACAGACAACGAAGACAACGAAAAATATAAACAACAATAGATATTACAAACAATATAAATGATAGATACGATGAACAATATAACGAACAATAGATAGATACAATGAACAATATAACAAATGACAGAAAGATATAACTAATAATATAACGAACAATAGATATAACAGACAACATAACAAATGATTGATATAACAAACAATATAACAAATGATAGATATAACGAACAATATAACGAACAATAGATATAACGAACAATATAATGAATGAAAGATATAACAACCAATAGAATGAATGACAAAAAGATACAACGAACAATATAATGAACAATAGATATAACAAACAATATAATGAATGACAGAAAGATATAACGAACAATATAATGAAGAATAGATATAACAAACAATATAACGAACAATAGATAGATATAACGAAAAATATAATGAATTACAGATAGATATAACGACCAATATAACGAGCAATAGATAGATATAACGAACAATATAACGAATGACAGATAGATATAACGACCAATATAACGAACAATAGATAGGTATAACAAACAAAACAACAAATGACAGATAGATATAACGAACAATATAACAAACAATAGATAGGTATAACGCACAATATTACGAATGACAGATAGATATAACGACCAATATAACGAACAATAGATAGGTATAACGCACAATATAACGAATGACAGATAGATATAACGAACAATATAACGAACAATAGATAGGTATAACGCACAATAAAACGAATGACAGATAGATATAACGACCAATATAATGAACAATAGATAGATATAACGAACAACATAACGAATGACAGATAGATAGAACGAACAATATCTCGAACAATAGATATGTATAACGAACAATATAACGAAATGACAGATAGCTATAACGACCAATATAACAAACAATATATAGATATAATGAACAATATAACGAATGACACATAGATATAACGAACAATATCTCGAACAATAGATATGTATAACGAACAATATAACGAAATGACAGATAGATATAATGACCAATATAACAAACAATAGATAGATATAACGAACAATATAACGAATGACAGATAGATATAACGACCAACATAGCGAACAATAGATAGGTATAACAAACAATACAACAAATGACAGATAGATATAACGACCAATATAACGAGCAATAGATAGATATAACGAACAATATAACGAATGACAAATAGATATAACGACCAATATAACGAACAATAGATAGGTATAACGCACAATATAACGAATGACAGATAGATATAACGACCAATATAACGAACAATAGATAGGTATAACGCACAATATAACGAATGACAGATAGATATAACGACCAATATAACGAACAATAGATAGGTATAACGCACAATATAACGAATGACAGATAGATATAACGAACAATATCTCGAACAATAGATATGTATAATGAGTGAAAGATAGATATAACGACCAATATAACAAACAATAGATAGGTATAACGCACAATATAACGAATGACAGATAGATTTAACGAACAATATAACAAACAATAGATATATATAACGCACAATATAACGAATGACAGATAGATATAACGACCAATATAACAAACAATAGATAGGTATAACGCACAATATAACGAATGACAGATAGATATAACGACCAATATAACAAACAATAGATAGGTATAACGCACAATATAACGAATGACAGATAGATATAACGACCAATATAACAAACAATAGATAGGTATAACGCACAATATAACGAATGACAGATAGATATAACGAACAATATCTCTAATAATAGATATGTATAACGAACAATATCACGAAATGACAGATAGATATAACGAACAATATCTCGAACAATAGATAGGTATAATGAACAATATAACGAATGACAGATAGATATAACGAACAATATCTCGAACAATAGATATGTATAACGAACAATATAACGAATGACAGATAGATATAACGACCAACATAACAAACAATAGATAGACATAACGAACAATATAACGAATGACAGATAGATATAACGAACAATATCTCGAACAATAGATAGGTATAATGAACAATATAACGAATGACAGATAGATATAACGACCAATAATATCTCTAATAATAGATATGTATAACGAACAATATCACGAAATGACAGATAGATATAACGAACAATATCTCGAACAATAGATATGTATAACGAACAATATAACGAATGACAGATAGATATAACGACCAACATAACGAACAACAGATAGGTATAACGACCAATATAACGAATGACAGATAGACATAATGAACAATATCTTGAATAATAGATATGAATAACGAACAATATCACGAAATGACAGATAGATATAACGACCAATATAACGAACAATAGATAGGCATAACGCACAATATAACGAACGGCAGATAGATATAACGACCAATATAACGAACAACTGATAGGTATTACGAACAATATAACGAACGACAGATAGATATAACGAACAATATAACGAACGACAGAAAGATATAACAAACAATATAACGAACGACAGAAAGATATAACAAACAATATAACAAATGACAGAAAGATATAAAAAACAATATAACGAATGACAGAAAGATATAACAAACAATATAACGAATGACAGAAAGATATAACAAACAATATAACGAATGACAGAAAGATATAACGAACAATAGATAGGCATAACGCACAATATAACGAACGACAGATAGATATAATGACCAATATAACGAACGACTGATAGGTATTACGAACAATATAACGAACGACAGATAGATATAACGAACAATATAACGAACGACAGAAAGATATAACAAACAATATAACGAACGACAGAAAGATATAACAAATAACGAACAATAGATAGGTATAACGCACAATAAAACGAATGACAGATAGATATAATGACCAATATAACGAACGACTGATAGGTATTATGAACAATATAACGAACGACAGATAGATATAACGAACAATATAACGAACGACAGAAAGATATAACAAACAATATAACGAACGACAGAAAGATATAACAAACAATATAACGAACGACAGAAAGATATAACAAACAATATAAAGAACGACAGAAAGATATAACGAACAATATATCGAATGACAGAAAGATGTAACAAACAATATAACGAATGACAGAAAGATATAACGAACAATATAACGAACGACAGAAAGATATAACGAACAATATAACGAACGACAGAAAGATATAACGAACAATATAACGAACGACAGAAAGATATAACAAACAATATAACGAACAACAGATAGATATAACAAACAATATAACGAACGACAGAAAGATATAACAAACAATATAACGAATGACAGAAAGATATAACAAACAATATAACGAATGACAGAAAGATATAACAAACAATATAACGAATGACAGAAAGATATAACGAACAATATAACGAATGACAGAAAGATATAACGAACAATATAAAGAACGACAGAAAGATATAACGAACAATATAACGAACGACAGAAAGATATAACGAACAATATAACGAACGACAGAAAGATATAACAAACAATATAACGAATAACAGATAGATATAACGACCAATATAACAAACAATACATAGACATAACGACAGACAGACAGACAGACAGATAGATAGATGATAGAGACAGACAGACAGACAGACCGACCGACCGACAGACACAGACAGACAGACAGACAGACAGAAAGATAGAAAGACAGACAGACAGACAGACAGACAGA